TCTGTGTTGTTTATAATGGTTCAACAAGCTTTTTCACCATGTATAAAATAATAATATTATATAAAAATAAAAGGAAAATAGTTCGATGTAAGTATTTAAAAACATGCAGTTCGCAAGTACTGTGATATCACATATTTTCGTATAGGTTTATTTTTCGTTCTTTCGAGGCACGCGGAGACCCACAAATTGTTTACCACCACGAAATTAATATGCATTACTACTTCACATAGTCCAACTACGAAATCAAGTACCCACAAACTAATTTTTTTTTCCTCAAACCTCCCCGTGAAAATATGTTAAAAATAGTATTTTTAGAACCTGATCTGATTACTTTTATAAGACCTATTTTTGTATTCATAATTAGCAGAATTTGTTCAGATTCTTATTTATGAAAACAAGAAAACAATTGCTGAGGCCTTCAACTCGACATTTTGATATATCGACGGCGTATTGTCAATTATCAATGGCCACGTGTATTTCCATTACTTTGTCGACACGATATATCCCAGTGAGCTAGAAAGAGTCTGATACATCTGTTTTATATTTTGATATTTAATTAGACGTTAGTGGTTATGTAACAGCTACGCTTTAAAGTTTTTAATCGTGAACTTTCCTTACCTATGTATGCAGCAATATACATGTACCTTCATCACTAATATACCCTTATCACTAGCAATACACATTTATCACCCACAATAGGGGTTTACAGTATTCACCAAAGTATTTTTTATATTACATGTAGGTCAAACATGAAGGTCAATGGGTCAAAATCATATAATACTCAGCTTGGACGCATTTTCTTACTTATTAAAATATGAAAGTACTATCTCTTCTCAATCAAAGGTTATGAGGAAAAAGAGTATATTTGAAAAATAGGATACGTGTTATGGTAAAGGACACAGGGTCTGACAATCATAATATTAGAGAGGTTTAGTTACAAGTGACGTAACAACGTGTACGCGTAACATTGATGTACACGTTCTATTTGACGTCAACGTCACTAACATGATTTAGTTATACGTAAACGTGTACGTATGCAAATTTCGTGATTGAACAGTAAATTAATTGAACGGCATTGTATTTATTATTTTTGATTTAGACAAATCAATGGTGAAATGGAATTTATACTTACTCTAGTCATAGATATCATTATAAACAATGAAAAATTATTATATGTATTGCCATCTCAATGCAATGAATCGCTCTAAATATTTTGTCACCTAGTATCTCTACAGGATATTAAGCTTTTAATTCTGCATAACTTTAAAAATGGAAGCAATCATAAAAATTATCTAATTGATGATAAAAAAAACGACCACATTTTGCACTTTTTGGAGGAGGGGGGGGGGGTACAAAAGAAAACCTTTTGAAAACGATAAAATGTGAAGGCTCAATCATTATAACGTCTAGACAGGAGACATGGAATAAAATTTAATACATAAATACATTGTTAAAACCAAAATCAGACACCGCCCCTTTTTAAATACGCATCTGCTGTTGAGCTTTACATCTGATAGTACAAAAGAAAAAAAATAGTTAATGAAATACAATCTTAACATGCACTTGACGTTACACATAGGCCTACTACCTATAACTAATTAGGCGAGGGTTTATATTTTTTGTCATGTCACTAGTGCCTGTGGATGTTATATAATAGTTTTGAAATATTTTATTATAAAAAAAATAAATAACATAGGGGTTTTAAAAAAGGTTTTAATAAAAATAACAGAAAGGGAAAAATCACCATGAAACTATAATTTTTTATTTGGTGCATTGGCGGACGGGGTCTTCTTCAAATGAATCCTGCGTACAAACTGTATTAAACATGCTGTTTGGTTTCAGTTTGAGTTTAACGTTTCATTGATAAAAATACTAATACTACGATGAAATCATCGAATTATCATTCATTTAAGGTTTTAGAAAGACAAGTGTTCTTGTTTAATTGCACAAAAATTAATCAACTGCATCAAAAAATAAAGAATGTAATCCATAACTTTACCCGTTTACGTCGTACGTGTAGACAATGTATTACAACTTGTAGCTACACGTCGGATTTGACGTCATGACGTCGAAGACCTCAACAATTGATGACTTCATCCGTACAAGTTCGTCGCAAAACGTGTAACTAAACTCTCTATTATTAGAAGGACTTGTAACAATAGCATACAAGTATAATATGAAAGCATTATCGTTTCTCTTTCAAAAGTTTTAACCAAATTAAAGTAATGTTAAAATTTTGAAAAGTAGATCAAGCTTCATGGTCAAGCGGTCAAAAATAAAACTATATTTGGAAAAGTCCTGTCACAGGTAATGTACATGTCAAATATAAATTCCCTAATATTTCATTCAAAAGATATGACCAATGTTAAAGTTTTTGTGACAGGGAGACAGACGGCTAGACTGACAGACAGACGGACAGACGAACGAAATCCAATGTCCCCTCGCTTTTGCGAAAGCAGGAGCCAACAATTATTTTTTTTTTTACATCTGATAATATATAATATGTTTTTATTATTACAGAACATTTCATTACCAATATTTTGTTTTGAAAACAAATCTGGTTTTTAAAGAAAAAATTAAAAGGCTTTTTACTGACTTCAAGAAATCAAGATTTATAATTTTAAAAAATAAAAGCATAATAGATGATGATAAAATCGAAAATGCTATTCCATTTATATGACATTTACACAAAAAGACATCTCCAATAAATATGATCTTTTCATATTGTACAATGAAATTTAATTTTAAAATCTTTTCTCTCCCTTACCGCTTTTTTTTAAATTTACGTTACGTTTTAAAGAATTGAAATTCCATTACTTATATATAGACATGTGATAAAATAAAGATTCATGTAAATATAAAAACTAAATAAATTTAATTTATCGTGAATATACATTAATACAACTGTCTGGAAAAAAATATTAAAATAAAGAACATGTGATAAATGTTTACATTGCTTTCAAAAGTAGCATACATAAAATAAACATTGTTTCAGAGTTTTCATCTATACTGATTTTAGCTATCATACTTCTAAGGGTTGCCAAACAACCTTTTTTGATTTCAGCCGATAAGGTCTGTGATAATATTGACTTCTTTGCAAAACAAAAGTCAACAATGCAATAACAGTTTCGAATTAAAACTTTTATTAAATAATAAACAGACAGGCTTTTTCAACAAAGCGAATAATTCCTTGAAAGCAAAAGTAAAATGATATAACAAGTAGCAACAATAAAATGCGACTATCAAAAATATGTATGATAATATTCTGTAGCTTAATCATACTAGCATAAAACTAACAAATCAATGCACCATAAATTTACTGACAACATAAATATTCCTATTGCACCTCAAATTAGTAAATAGGGAATTTTAACAGTCAATAAAATTATTGTGTAGCATACTTTTATGGCAAAAATGTCTTTAGATGTTCACTTCATAGATCCAAGACTGGAAAACAGAAAACATTATATTCAAAGCATTTTTGAAATGAAATTCCCGTTATTTCCCGATTATGACAAGAGGCACACGTCGGGTTTGACCGTACGGCAGGGACTACGTACTCTCTAATGTCACCTGATCGCACCTGTTGTGTTTCAGAGGTCTGTTTTTGTTCTGCTCCTCATTTATATAGTTTGAATGAGTTTTTCAGCTTAAATACTTTATTTCCATATAATTCAAGTCAAAGATTTCAAAATCAGTGGAGGATATGGTAGTTCTCATAGAGCTTACTTAGTGACACATGTGATCTCGTTTAACAATAATAGTTCATTATTCTACAGTCAGTTCAATCAATCTGACCTCTTTGCTCTGACTTTATTCATATTATAGATCATTTTGTCGCATTTATTATATAAATCTCATAACCATCGGTCTTTCAAGTTTTTAGATTTATATCAATGTTATTATTTCATAGCCATGGCTTGACCTGATAACAAACTTATATTAAGAAAACTGTTTGACTTCTGATAATGATTCTGAGATTATAACGGGATTCGGCGTATTATAGATTGAACTCTCCGTCAAAATTAAGGTCGTTTTACTTAATAATTATTTGCGCAAGATGTTCCAATGTAAAGCTTTTTTTCAAATCAAATAAACTTAAATTGCAACTGTTTACTGTTTTTCAAATCTGAAAATCCAGTTTGACACATTTTTACAATGTGAATTTCTTTCTCAAAGTTTGTTCCTTGTACGTCTTTTCTGAAATATTAAGTTTTTAAGCGAAGAAGGACATTTAGTCTTATTTTAACTCATTTTTTTATTTTTTATTTCCCTCGGACTTAAATACAAGATGTAAATGACCAACTTCACAACACATCTTAAATATTATGCAATTTAAAATGTTTAATGTCACAAGCAGAGCTTTCTTAATTGGATTAGTTTTTAAAATTAATTTCAATCTTCCGTACATATGACAGAAGATTCAAAACATGAAAAAGCAACGACTAACATACATTTTATAAATAGGATATATTCATGACATGTAAATTTTGACAGTCCTCTTGTAAATTTATATAAAAATGATGGAGGTATAAAAATGATGTATGCATTAAGATACAATATATAAACTAACGGATTAATAAAGTGTTTATTCCGTCGCTGAACTCTTGATTGTACCCATTTCCTATATAACAATGGTAAGGAGAATCGTGTAAATTAGTTATTTTGTTTTTTTTATATTTGCTTTTCGAAAAACGTTTTGATAAATTATTTTTCCACTCTTAATATAATTATTCGAGAAAGGGACTGAAAGTGGTCTCAAATTGCATATACATGTATTATATGTGATATAACAATGGAATAGAAAAAATTATTAATTAATACGACGAAGTTATCGATGATATATATGTTTTCGTATTTGATAATTGGATGTTATCATTGTTGGTTGAAGTCACTTTCAATTTTGTATATTTATTTAGATTAGAGTATTGGTATACTTTCGATAATTTGTAAATCTGTTTATTTATATGAAAGTTATTTGCAATTGTTATATTTTTCAGGTCTTCCTCGTATTTCTTATCCTGATCCAGTTTTATACCACAGAATCCCAAATTACCAAACACACTTCAAACTCTTATCGTAATTGCAGTAAAGTGTGTAGACGTGAAAAGATTGATTGTGCTAACGAGTGTCGTGTAGACCATATTCGTAATCGGAAGGACTTTTTGGAATGTGCTGTAGAGTGTAAAGAGGACTATGTAGAGTGTGATACAGAATGCATGTGTTTGATACCATGTGACCAACAGAGGGCCAATTGTATACAAGACTGTGCGACGCGAGAAGGTCGGTCCAAACGCAGGTGCTACCGGACGTGCTTTAAAGACTTCCATGAATGCTATGATGAGTGTATGTAGTTCATAATAGAACTGACCTTGACATTCTGAGTCAGAGAATCGGTGACGTAACTGTCTCGCTATAGTGACATGTAGGGCTGTATCTTTTGAAGTTTTTGAATCAAGGTTTATTGGATTAATAAAAAGATTTAGAAATTGACATTTTAAGTCTTCTACGTTAGTCTGCTTTTGTATGTAGAACGATTTGTTAAGTTAATCCTAATGTAATCTATATATCCCCACCGTTTCTGATGCATGAAGCCATTATGATTGACTCAAAATTCTTTCACAGATAACGAAAACAGGGCCAGAATTAAAGTACATGTATAAAGTAATGTACTAATGATTTACACCATTTCATTGAATTTTACAACCTTGCAAAAACAAAATATTTCAGTCTTCAATACAGAAAATATATAAAGTATTTCATTCTTTTAATAATACTCTTAAGTTACTTTATCTTCAATGTAAAGAATACGTTGTGATAAAATCTAATATCTTAGCTGAATGAAACTTTATGTTAATGATTTGGTTTATCATCATAATACGTTATGGTTTATCATCACAACTGTGGTTTTGCTTAACACACACAATGAGATGTCAGGAAATAAATTCAGTCTTCCAAAATGACTTTAAAGATGTTATAAGCTATTAAAAGGAAATAATTTGCGTAGTTTTGGGGTTAATTAAACATACATGTCATGGACAAGGGACAAAGCATAGTAAGTATGCATAGACTGTTTCAACACTTTACAAGCATGAAATAGGGGATGTTTACTCCTCTATTGCAGCTGATCCACCTATGGTTTTTATTCTTGTTCTTTTCACATTTTGAATTGATTGTAGGTAATATGATCACAGTTTCATATGCTCGTTTGTTTTGGTATCTAATCAAGAGGATCTGGATCAGAAATGGGTATATTTTTTTCCGATGAAAGTTTAATATTATAAAAATCATAAGAAAATGTAGAAAATGCATAATGACAGTTCTTTAATTAGAAGTTCTATTCAGCAATTAAAATCTACTTTTTTCTATGGATTAATTTGTTTAAACTATAGAATGCAACAGTGAATAAGAAATGTATTTGCAAAAATCAAAGTCTGAAACCTTTGTTTGTTTGGTTAGTTGTATAATAAAATGTATGGAGATAATGAACAGTATTCGAGCTCAAAAGTCCATAGAACAATACAAATCTGGAGTAGAGAAAACATGTACGTACCTCTTAAACATCAGAGGTGACATCGGGTGCCATGAAGGAGTGAGCATCCCCTGCCGACCGCCCCCCCCCCTCCTTGTGCTCCTTCACATGATCGGGCAATAATGGGAAAATCAGTCAATAGTAGTATGCAAAAAATCAGTCAGCATTTGACTTCATCAAAGATTATAGTTGCTGATACGGTCATTGTATCGACAATAGAACTTACGAAATGATGACTTTAAACGAGACTGCGGATATTCTTGTTTCATCAACTTGTTTGTATACAAATTTACCTTGTTTTAGGAATTGTTCATACGTAGAGCATGTTCCTGCGAATCGGATAAACCCCGTATGCAGGTGATAAATGTATATCGTTGTACAAATATTTTTCTTGTCAAATATCCTAAATGTGAATGTCGTAAATATTGAAAAAAAGCGTATGACTCTGTGATATCTTTTATTTAAAGCTCACTGGATTATATTGTATCGACATAAGAACAGAAATAGCTAAATTCTAATTGATATATCTAGATGTCGAATTGAAGGCCACAGAAAGTATTTTGTTTTGTTTTCTGTTTTACGTATAATATTTTGAACTCCTTGTGCTTCATAAGAATCAAAAAAAGAAAGTTAAGTTGATTTGATTAGGAACTTTTAAGTGACAAGAAACATGCAAAGCTCTTGGTGATATTCTTCCACAAAAGCACGCTGACCCTTGACGATGATATACTGATACTGGCAGAAAGTATTGAATTTCGTATTTGAAATATTGAAAGGGACGCTTCTAACTTTCTTTCAACCCAGACCCTATTTTTTATTAAACACTCAAAAACAAAAAAGCAGTGCAAATTTTGTTCTGTTTAAATCTAGGCTTTAAATAAATCAGTGTTGATTCCTGATATTCACATAAGACCACAGATTTCTGAATAACACTTTGTGGATTTTTTTTTATTCGTATTGTTTTCATTCAAGGGATTGTTTCTAAATAAATGACGTAAATGTCCAAAATAGTTTTTTTTTTAATGGGTTTTTTTATTATATTGGTTACATAATCATACTTAAAATATAAATGTAAATTAGGATCCGCAAAATCCATTGACTTAAATGTTTGGTTAAATATCTGCAATACCACAAGGATTTAGGTATTCCATCAATATTTTTTTTGCAGGACGAATGTTCAAGAAATAAGAGTATAAATGTTTATATTTTACTTCATTCGTTCAAAGGATTTTATATATTTCAAAGTTTGCTATTTTCCTGCATTACAAAATAGCAGGAAGTGTTTTTTAAATTAAGTTCCTCTTCTTTTGTATTTATTTTTACATATAAAATACTGGAATAAAAACCTCATATTTCAATTTCGTGATAAATTAAACAATACTGCGACTGTTCTATACCGTCAGCCCGTACACGTCTAATAGTTACATAGAACACGAATAGTGCAATTATACGATGACAAATAATTCCGGCTATATATAGTCTGAAGCCTCCTACATCCTAAGTAAAACCATAATCACATTATAATGTATTATTTGCATTGTACTCATCTTAAAGTTAAACAAACAACACAGTTTATACTGAATTACAAAACTTTTTTTTGGCGCGATTAATACTTTCCATATTAATTTTATTTTGAAAAAAAAATCATATTCTCTTCATCCAATTTTGTGATTACTTTTGTGACAGAAAAAAATATAATAGATATATCAATTAATAAGGTATAATTTGTATACTGTAGTAGTTTTAATCTTTGCTCTATGTGGATATTATTTAATAAAATGTCATTTTAAAACCTAGAATTGGTTTTGTTAATATCTTACTCATTTCAGTTTTATTTTGATTTTTCTTAACTTTAAGAAAAACAAAGTTTCTTCTTCAATTATACAAAAAGGAAAAATGTTAATGAATCATTGATATATGTGATATTCATTCAGGTATCTGTCATATACATTCCTTTCAGTCTTCATGATCGAATTTCACATTAATTTTATTTACTAGGTAGAGAAGTTATAAATAAAGCTCAATTACTAATACATATATATTATTTGAAAGTATTCATAAAAATAAATTCATCTAAATGACTTGCAAAAAACAAAAGCTGTGATTATTTTCAAAAGAAATATTCAAATACAAATAGATATGCTTATTTTATGGAAAAAATACAAAAATTAAATCGATCTAAAGTGTTGATTTAAAAATTAAAGACAGAGTAAACCTTTCAGAAGACTTTTTGTGTGTCGATTACCAGAGAAGGTATGTGTGTATTTTTAATAGAAATGGACGCCTATTATTGTCCTGGAATTGTTTGATGATATAGTTTAAATTTAATTTAAGAAGCTTTGTTGCTGTCACTGAGTATTTTGACATTTATCTATGTCATTCCACTGTTGAATCTGTCTTTTAGGACATTTGAAGACAATTTAACATTAAGAAAAATTAGTTTTAGAATGTGCAACAAGTTATTTTAGGTAAAATCACTTGTAATATTTTATAAGTTTGCCTAACTTGACAAATTTATGTCATTTTTCACTAAAAGAATTATGCTCTTCTGGAATGACACAATCTTTTACTGCATACTTTATCAGTTTACATAAATACAAATATAGACTAAATGACACAGTGGTAATTTTGTCATTCTCACTGAAAACAGGAATCTATGCCTACTTTAACACGTTAAGGTCTGACGAATATATGTTATAACTGTATGAAGAACGAGATAAAGAACAATCACCAACCTCAAAAATTTATAGATGCAATACAAATTAGATAAAGAGCAAAAAAGGACCTCTAAAATTATCACATGTTTAATCAAGTGACATGTGGGCGTATGCGTCCCTTCTCAACAGGTCAGATTTCATTATGTGCTTCTTGACATGATCAAACAAACGGAAATCTGTAGATCCATCAGTATAAACATAATGACGTGATAATGAAGGATATGGAGATAACGAACAGTATTCAATATCAAAGTCCATAAAACAATACAAAATAGGAACAGAGCAAACACGGACCTCCAAAACATCAAGGGTGGGCTCAGGTGCCATGGAGGATTGAGCATTCCCTGCCGACCGCTCACGTCCGCCGTGTTCTTCTTGACATTATTGGGAAATAACAGAAAAATCTGTCGTCAATTCAGTGAATAGATAATGAACTAACAATTATTATGAAAAACATCAGTCAGCATTTGACTCAACTATAAACTGAATTTGCTGACAAGGTCATTATATCGGCCATAGTACTTACGAAATGATGACTTTAAACGAGACTGCTGATATTCTTGTTTCATCAACTTGTTTGTCAATAATTTACCTCGTTTTAGAAATTGTTCAAACGTAGAGCATGCTCTTGTGTATCCAATCAATTGAGATATATAAACTCCGTATGCAGGTGATGAAGGTATATTGCTGCATAAGTAAGGGAAGTTGACGATACAAAAGTTAAAGTCATCACGTTTATCATAGAGATTGGTTGTTAGATTACTATTAACGTCTTTTTCAAGTAAAATATCCATGTATTAAACAGTTGTGTCAGACTCTGTGGTATCTTTTATCTCAACCTCACCAAGATATATCGTATCGACATAGGAATGGAAATAACCATTGTTAGTTGACAATACGTCGTCGATATATCTAAATGTCGAGTTGAAGGCCACAGGAAGTGTTTTCTCTTTTTTCATGCATAATTTGTACCCATGGGAATTCCACTAGATTGTTGGAAGACCTGGTCTCCAAAAACCACATACTACTAGATATTGTCAATCAGAAACTCATCTGTTTGATGTCAGCTTAGAGTATTTGTGTGTACAATCAGAACGTTTTTTTAACAAAATAATTTGGCAAATGACCAATGACCAGGTAAGTAAATTTACGAGTTCCATTTGTATTGAAAAAGCAAGCTGTCAATGATATAAAAAGCCTGTGCTTTAATTTATCGTTATTATTCTGTTATGTAACTATAAAACAT